AAATGGAGGTCAGCACCCACGATTCATCTAGCAAAATTTGGCTCTTCATTTGTGTCATCTGCAAGCTGCATCCTTCATTCTTTTTTTATAGAAATCGTCCATAGGAGGTCAGATTCAGATTGCACTGTTACTATGTTCTCTTTCACGATATTAGATGTACTGACTAAACCACCAAACCTCATTTCTGTCTTGTCTGAAATAAAGTCAAGTGAACACAAGTCAATCTAGTAGAAAAAGTAGATACCACCAATATGATGGCATCAAATTTGGAGAGAAATTTATCCTTCTTGTATTGAACCAAAAACAAATAGAGATATGCAGCACATAAAGCATCAACCTATAACAAATTGAGGCAGGTTGAGTCTAAACTACCATATTAAAAGTTAATAAGAAAAGAGTAAGATGGAGTTGCTCACCCAAATTCCATTTGAGACCTGTGGTTGTGGTTCTTCCACCAGCCGTTCCAATGGGTATGAGTCCGCAATGCGGGCCCTCAACAGAGGACTGGATATGAATCTTGTGATGATGTGTACTCGGAAGAAGTTGGATGAGGCAGTCATCAGAGAGAAGAATAATCGGCATGGACGGGAAACGGCATATGACATTAATATTTCCCATCTCATGGTCAAACCTTCCACCAAGTGCTCCGGTGGCTAGAATACACAACTGTAATTACACACAGATACAAGTCAATCCCACTGAAACTACATTACGACATTTATTCCAGTAATGGGGTCCTATAATCTTCTAATTGCTCTGAGATTATGCTAAATTGTATTGGCTCTCCTTGTGTGTGCTTGTAATTATCATCTTACTATGTTAGAGTTGTAATATTGCATCATATTTGTGATCTTTATAATAGTGGCTTTTCTCTAATGTCAGTAGATCCACTCAAAATAATAATAATGGTAATCATAAAAAGACAATAACAAATATACTGTTCCTTTTAATATCAATGTGAAATGTTTATCATCTGTCAACTTTTAGTTTGATCCAGCACCCTTAGGTGGTGGTAGAGATGTTAATTAATTAATTGTTCAATTGGTTACAAAACACTTTACTATATTTTTTTAGCAAAAGTAATAGAAGTTGGACCAATCATGCTTACAAGTAGAAAACTTCCACTATATATGAAAAGGTATATCACATTTTTTTTCCATAATAACCTTACAACATACCCTACTAGAGAGTACAAGGAAGAGTTTTTTTTTTTTTTGATAAGGTAAACTGTATAAATCAAAAGGGAGAGAACTCCCGTATACAAGAAGTATACCAAAAAGTAGAGAATTTACATAAGAACATGATTCTCTACAAAAGACGCCCAATCTTCCATACAAATAGGGGCTATATGAGTGCACCAAAAAGCGATCAAAGATAAAAGACTATTCTTAAGATGTGAAAAAAGAGACTCAATCCCCTCAAAAGCTCTCCTAGTTCTCTCCCCCCAAACTATCCACATGAGAGCTAACGGGGCGAACTTTCACGCCTTTTGCTTTCTTCTTCTACGAAAACCGGCCCAGCTATATAACATTTCCTTTACAGTGCTTGGCATCACCCAATTGAACACCAAAAAGGTTCAGGATCGCCCTCCACAAAGCCGAGGACACAGGGCAATGCAACAAAAGATGATCAACATCTTCCCCTAAGCTTTTACACATATAGCACCAACTAACAAGTGTAATTCCTCTCTTTCGCAGATTCTCAGCAGTCAAAATCACTCCTCTTGCCGCTAGCCATGCAAAAAAGCACACCTTCGTGGGCGCCTTAGGTAAAAGGACTTTACAGTGAACAGACCATCGCCAAGCAAACCCTGTCTCCAAGAATCACAAGATGGATGGGGCCTGTCTTGCCCCTATAGAAGTGTCACTAAATCTTAGAGCTCCGCAATCTCCCAATCTTGCATGTTCCTTCTAAATGAGAGGTCCCATACTANGAGAAGGAGACCCTCAAAGTATCCTCTCCACACCACTTATGATTCCAAAAACTGATTTTCCTTCCATCTCCCACCCTGTGAGAGATGTTGCCTCTGAAGGATGCTCCTCCACATGCCACACCCGAAAGGTGTTGTGATTGCCTTGGTCCTCCAACCCCCTCCCGTGGAATCGTACTTTTCTATTATGACCTCCCTTCATAGAGTATGCTCTTCTACCCCGAATCTCCACAGCCATTTCCCCAACAAAGCTCTGTTGAATACCCTAAGATCTGTTACTCCAAGTCCACCCCACTTCTTTGGGGAAGTGACTGTCTGTCAATTCACTAGATCATACTTTCTAGTTCCATCCGTTGCATCCGAAAGAAAATTCCTTTGAAGCCGCTCTAGTTTTTCCGTGATGCTCACAGGAGCTTGCAACAAGGACAAGTAAATAGGTGGACATACTCGATAAAGTGCTTTTAATGAGCACTTCCTTTCCACCTTTTGACAGGTACCGTTTCTGTCAGCATGCTAATCTTTTTTAAACCCTTTCGATCACTGGATTCCAAACCGTACTATCCTTATGCGAAGCGCCCAATGGGAGACACGAGTAAGTAGTAGGAAGGGAGCCCACCTTACATCTGAGAACATAAGACAAAGCATCAATGTTAGCAACCTTACCCACCGGGAAAATCTCACACTTGTCAAGGTTGATTTTGAGACCTGATACTATCTGAAACCACTGCAGGACCTGCTTTAGGTAGGTCAATTGATCCATATCGGGATCACAGAAAATCAGGGTGTCATCCACAAAAAGCAAACAAGAGACTCTTCGGGCACTGGGCACCCCGATCGGAGCTGAGAATTTTCTCAAGAAGCCTCCGCCCGCCGCACGATCCATCATTTTACTCAAAGCATCCATCACTAGAATGAATAGCATGGGGGATAGCGGGTCTCCTTGCCTGAGACCCCTGGAGCTGCCAAAGAAACCACACGGGCTACCACTAACCAGGACAGAGAATTTGACTAAGGAAATGCAGAACTTGATCCATCCTCTCCATCTTGCCCCAAACCCCATCCGCATCATAATGAAATTCAGGAACTCCCAATTGACATGGTCGAAAGCCTTCTCAAGGTCCAACTTGTATAGTAAGTCGGGATCTCTATTTTTCCTTCTGGAGTCTACAAGTTCATTTGCCATCAAAGTTGCATCCAAGATCTGCCTACCTTCCACAAACGCATTCTGGGAGGACGAAACAGACACGTCAAAAACCTTCTTGAGTCGGTTGGAAAGCACTTTAGAAATAATCTTGTAAATGCTCCCCACGAGACTAATAGGCATGTAGTCACTGATACGCACCTTCTTTCTTAGGCACAATAGTAATAAAAGAAGCATTGATACTTCTCTCGAAAACACCATTCACATGGAACTATTCAATGGCTTCCATCAACTCCCCCTTGATGGTGTCCCAACAGAGCTGGAAGAAGGCCAAGGAGAAACCATCAGGGCCGAGGGCCTTATCACCAGCACAACTCGACACAGCCTCGTGCACTTCCTCCTCCTTGAAAGCCTTTTATAGCCACTCACTGTCGCCCTCCCCTATGTGGTTGAACTCTGTTCCCCCCCAAAGTCGGCCTCCAACTAACTTCCTCTTTGTATAAGTTCTCATAAAACCCTACTATCGCTCCTTCTACCTCCGCCTCTCCCTCAATCCTCACCCCATCCACAAAAGGACTTTATGAAATTTCTCCTTCGATTTGCAACTGCCACCCTATGAAAAAATTTGGTATTCGAATCCCCCTCTTTTAACCATAGCGCCCTCGAATTTAGCCGCCAACTAGTCTCCTCCTGAGCTATTGCTAACTCAACTATTTCCCTCTTAACCTCCCCCAGTCTCGCTTTCTCAGATTCATCTAACTCTCTCGCCCCTTCCCCTCCCTCTCTAGATCCCCCAATTCATGCATAAGCTCACTCATTTTAACCTCTACCCTCCCAAAAACCTCCTTATCCCACCTAATAATATCTCCCTTGAACAATTTAAGTTTTTTCGAAAGACAGAATGAAGGTGTCCCTGATACCCCGTAGCTTGTCCACCATCCTTCACCTTGTCACCAAATCTTAGCACCTTCAACCACATGTTCTCGAATCAAAAGGGAGCACACACCCCCCTCCCTCTGCCTCCATCTAGCACGATAGGCAAATGATCTGAAGTCAGCCGAGGTAAAGGAATCTGCAGCACATTCGGCACCAGCTCATCCCAGGAGGGTGATATCAGAAATCTATCAAGTCTAGACCTTAAGTTGGAATCCTCCGCCCTGGCTCAAGTAAACCTTTCCCCTGACAGAGGAAGATCAATGAGAAAGTGATCATTGATGAAGTCGGAAAACTCCTCCATGGCCCTTGAAATCATACTACGCCCTAATCTCTCCTACGGGAATCTAATAGTGTTAAAGTCTCCCCCTAGAACCTATGGAATGTCCCATTCCCCCATCATATTGGCCAGTTCCTCCTAGAAAAACATCTTGGACACTTCTCCTACCGGTCCATACACTCCCCGAAATCCCCACTCCACCTCACTCATTCTATTTTTGACAAGAGCTGCTAAAGAAAAAACTCCCTTCTTAATCTCCTTTACCTCCAAGCTTCTATCATCCCATATTAGAAGAATGCCCCTAGCACTTCCCGCTGCTGGAACCCAGTCATATTTTACCCAACTACCTCCCCAGACACTCCTCACAATCACATCCGACAAAACTTCCATTTTTGTCTCCTGAAAACAAACTAGGTTAGCACTTCACTCTCTAACTCCCACTTTGATGATGGCCTTTCTGTTTGGGTCATTCATCCCCCTCACATTCCATGAAAGAATCTTAACTTCCATAAGAAACAATATCCCCCTTCTCCCTACCCCCTCTAACCGAGCTCCCTTCCTCCCTGTCACACACCCGACCCCTTCTCTGGTACACCACTACATTCCCTAAATTATTTTGCTTAACACCTTGACCCAACTCCCTCCCTGCACCATCATAACAAGATTGTTGCTCAATCTCCTTCAACAGTTCTAACACCCTATCTTCCTTCCCTTCAAAAGAAACACCTAGAAACTTCCCAAAGTTTAATAGTTTATCCTCCATCCAGAAAGGCATAACCCCTCCTCCAATCCATGACGAAATTGGACAGGCGTCTTTTATATATAGCCTTTCCTTGCCCCTACCGGAGGAATACAAGACCATAGCATTCTTAGCAATAGGAACTTTTGGTGCCGAAAGGTTCTCACCCTTTCCTTGACGGATATCAATCTCTGAAATTAGCATCCCGCTGCTATAGGAATGGCCAAAAACACCAGTAGGGTAGCAGGAAGGGGGAGAGCATGGAACCCTTGGTGGCATCTTAACTGGAAATACTGGTTCGGCACTACCGTCAGATGGGGCATGCTCAACAATCTTCCCAGAAAAAGAAGAGGCTTGAAGTGTAGCCTCAACACAACTAAGCCCAGAAGCAGATGAGGGGGCGATGGAGCTGGGTCCATCAGATGCGGGAGGCCGTAGAATAATAGCACCATCTATAGCCGGTGCCGCCCCTGAAGCAGCGTCCATCGAAGAGGGGCTCAGGTCACTAGAGCTCGGTGCAGAAATGCCACTGTGTAGCACCACTGGCAGAAGAAGGAAGAACGATTGTTCCCATATGCTTAGGAACCTTATCAGACGCAGCTTGAAATAATCTGGGTCCCTTAGGATCTATCTCTAATTGAATTGGAAAAAATTGTTGGGCCCATATGAGGAGGCCCAGACCTATACTTGCTGAAACCTTGCCTTGCCCTAGGATAATTAGAAGATGACCGACCCATTCTGCCTTTCCAGCCTGCATCACTAACCCATTCATGTCTTTTCCTCCTGTTGAAATTTTGTCTTCTTCTCCCAAAATCATACCTCCCGTCTCTTCTCGATATAACGTCTGATTCCGGCTTAGTCCACTAATCTAGTGAGCCCTCCCATCCCCTCAAAGATTGATTTCCCCTCCCCTCCCTTCTATTTGACCTTCCCTTTTCTTCCGCCACTGTCTCGGGCATAAAGATAAGGCGAAATTCAGGGCTCAACCAAACCCTATAACTCAAGTAGCCATCTTCCACCACAGTGGAGATAGGGATTTTGCCCCCTTTCCTCACCACAATCCTCATTGCGAGAGATCGTGTAAGCTGCAAGCGACATCAATAAAAACCACACAGATTTCCCCAATCTTCTTGAATAAGTCAAGACACCTAAGATGCACAGGGAGACCCACCATGTTGACAACCAATGATTCGCCGGTGAAACAAAGGTCTAGACACCCATCGTGCTCCATCCATCTGTCTAGCTTTAAGAAGTTCCCTTCGAACCACATGTTTCCTCTTACAAGAATATTTGAAGCTTGAGACTCGTCGACAAAACGAAAGAGATATTGTGTGTCCCCCAGTTGCGATATTTTCAGCCCGTCCTTGACATTCCATGCCTCTGCTGCCCAGTTCCTAACAGTCTCTGGAGAACCAACCCATTTGGAAAAAGACCCAATCAGATAAGATTTCAAGAAGTCCTTTCGCCTGAGAGTGTGCTCCTCAGATAGCGAGAAGTGCGGCTCCTGCCCTACGTCAACCTTTCAATGGCATCTTCCCCCAAGTTCTAGGTCTGGCCAAGAGGCAGCTTTGATGAAAGACACGTTTTCTAGTTTTCTAGATTTTAGAGAGAAATAGGAGTTTCTCTCTGTAGAATTCATCATATTCTTTTTTTTTTTATTTTGCACCGGGTGTCCGAATCTCTTCGAGCCCCGACTATTCCCGGGGGTGCACAGGCCCTCGACAAGGAGTTTCCCGCAAGTGCACCACAGTTAATTCAGGTTTTACCCAGTCCGATGGCCCTCAGAAATTGTTTGCACCCAGTGGGTTTCGAACTTGAGACCTTGAAAGGGAGCAAACCCCAAGGCTCAAGTCAATTGCAACCAGGTGCGTGGCTGAGATCTCGCCGAAAAACAGACGTGTTGCCCGCACGTGGCGGCGCGTGAGAGCTCGATTAACAGAGGGTTTCACTGGGGTTTGGTCGCGGGAAGTTTGGCTCTTGATAGGGGTGGTAGAGTCTTAGGAAGGAGAAGAGAGAGAAGAATCTCAGGAAGCGTTCCTGAAAGCATTTTTTAGATCTGGATAGAAGGGTTTTTTCACGCAGCAAATTTGGGGGGATAACAAGGAAGAGGTTAAAAAGGTTTTATTGAATTTATTGATGATTACTTCACCTTGCCACTTTATATCCTCACTTTCTTGAAGATTGTGCATGCAATGGTATCCCTGGTAACTAGTTTCAATTTCATTTTAAAGGAATGAGTAAAAAAGGCAATAAATGAAGCTTATACCAACCCAGATTGAATAATGACGAATAAGCAATACATCTAATCCACCATGTGAAAGATTTTCTAATGAATTGTTTATTTCAAATATCTATTCTAAATGAATAATTTAGAATCCATCATATTCTAGATGCGGTTGTCCCAAAAAAGAAGTAAGATCTTGCCAGAAAAAGCCCCAAAGGATAGAAAAATTAGTAGTCACAGTAGGTGAAACGCAGAATATAGGGAGGGAAGAAAGTTTTCTGGTACTGAACAACTGAAACAGTCGCCGGAATCTGGAGTTTAATGGCCGGAAAAAGAAAAAGTCACCAGATTTTGGTGGAACTGGGACAGGGAGACTCGGAAAAGCCTCGAGAAGAGGTTGTCGGAAGAAAAAAGTTTGAAATAGTCGCCGGAAATAGCCACACGCGCCGGCGCGTGGTTGAGATCTCGCCGGAAAACAGGCGTGTTGCCCGCGCGTGGCGGCGCATGAGAGCTCGGTTGACGGAGGGTATCACTGGGGTTTGGTCGCGGGAAGCTTGGCTATTGATAGGGGTGGTAGAGTCTTAGGAAGGAGAAGAGAGAGAAGAATCTCAGGGAGCGTGCCTCAGAGCATTTTTTAGATCTGGATAGAAGGGTTTTTTCACGCAGCAAATTTGGGAGGATAACAAGGAAGAGGTTAAAAAGGTTTTATTTAATTTATTGATGATTAATTCACCTTGCCACTTTATATCCTCACTTTCTTGAAGATTGTGCATGCAATAGTGTCCCTGGTAACTAGTTTCAATTTCATTTTAAAGGAATGAGTAAAAAAAGCAATAAATGAAGCTTATACCAACCCAGATTGAATAATGATGAATAAGCAATACATCTGATCCACCATGTGAAAGATTTTCTAATGAATTGTTTATTTCAAATATCTATTCTAAATGAATAATATCCTATTACTAGCAATAATCATAAATAAGAAACAATTAGAGTACAAATATCCCACAACGAAAAGATGCAGATATAGTTTGAGCAACTATTTAGTGTAGAGATATTTTTAATGGATATAAATTAGAATATAGCATATTGATAAACATGGAAAAGGGTAAAAATTTCAAGAGTTATGTTAAAAAGCTTAACTTACATTTGGATGTTCTGGGTTTAGTAATTCAAGAATATATGCAACACATTTATGAAGATCTGTGGTATCTTGATCATGAGATTCATCAATTATCTTGGTCCCCTGCAAAGTCACCAAGCTATACATCCTCAAAATATGGTTCTAACCATGCTTTGTAGTGAACTGCACAAACATATTGCACAAGAACAAGACGGCAAAGAACGATCTTGAGCCACATAGCTAATTATATCCAAAAGTGTAATAACTATCTAGTAACTGAAATGATATACACATGTAGTCAGGTAGCTTAAAATCCTCACTAACATGCTTGAAAATGAAAAAATGCACAAGTTTAATTACATACTACATTAGAAAGAATTTAAACAAGACCAGATATTATTCTCTTGATCTTTACACAAAAACTAGTAAGTAGAAGTGTGGTAACTGCTCGTATAAGTAGAAGTGTGGTAACTGCTCGTACACAGGGCAAAAACTTGAACTCAACAATATATTTGGAAACCACAAGGTTTTAACAAAGTGGGCCTCTCTTCTAGACTCAAGAATATATTTGCACAGCTCAACTATACTTTAAACAAATTTCTCACTCTCGGATAAGGTGAAAGACAGGGAAGCTCTTAACACACCATACACTTGGTAAACTATCACATGGAGCTCCACTCCATTGCATATCAAAGAAGATCCACCACAAAGGTTCTGTAAGGCCAAGGGTTCAAACACCAGATTCTTTCGGTAAGGTCAAACACCAAATTCTTTGAAGGTTGACGTCCCTAGAGGTCGGCATTTAACACAAAGTGATGATTCAATTCAAAGTAGGATAAATCATACTAGTAAGGGAGACTTGTAAGTATATATCAATCAGGACTGCCTCAATCCAAATTAATTGAGATCGACTACATCAATCCAATGTATCTATTCTGCCGCACCATTCAGGTTCCATTTCATTTCAACACTAAATATTCTGTCTTTTTAAGGCAAATTAGTTATTCTCCAAAACTAGATGTTCCCTTACACTTATCCCTACACAAATATAAAAATGTGGATGCTTTTAAAATTTATTGGAAAACAGATTTGCTAAGAAACTACAGAACCATCACAAGCAAACTCTAGCTTACCAGGCCTCTATAAAAGTCAAGAACATCAGTTCTGATTGAATCCATATCTCCTTTTATAGCATATGGCTTGTACCTGTAAAAAAATCATGGTTCACTCAAATTCAATGTAAGATGACGAAATAAAAATTTCCAAATATTAAGAAATTGTGCTTTAGCCCAAAAAAGAAAAAGAGAAATCCCGATGCTTTTACATATTGTCTGCATGTGTTTTTACTCACTTATAGCTCAAACTTGAATCTCAGTATTTGTCCTATGCTTGGATTACTAATATGGCATGAAAATTTTCAAATAATAACTTATTAACTCATTCTTTCCTCCAGCAAAAATCCAAGTTTTAGTTTTCTTTTGCACATTCTGGTCCAAGAAAAAAAATACCAAGGCCCATGTGAGGGGAGTGCAGCAAACCTAAACAAGTTCACAGAGTTCAAAGCTACTAATATATACTATTTTTTTAAAGTAGATTTTTCTTTTCTCGAAATGGTGGAAAAAGTAAATTCTTCGCCCTATAAAAATCCCGGTTTTATTCAGAGGCGGAGCTAGAGTGCCAGGAGAGGGTTCGACCGAACCCAGTAGCTTTGGTTCGAACCCTGTACTTGTCTAAAAAAATCCATTGAATATGTATAAATTATTAATTTAGAACCTAGTAACTTAAAACGATAAGAATCTCGAACTCATAAGCTTTAAATCGTGGTTCCGCCTGTGGTTTTATTCCTTATTATTTTGCCAATTTGCAAGTTTAGAGATTGGAAGAATGAACCAGCAACAAGTTGCTACGTATAATCAGTAACAAGAGCAATTGGTAAGTGAATTCAGAATCACCTCTTACGAATATCAGAAGGGTCGTCATGAGGAAAAAAGCAGGGCAATTCATCAAACACCCTATTCGCTCCACCGTCAGCGCAAACATGAACCTGTGCTGCTCCAAACAACAAACATATGCCACCATTTTCAGGGAAATTACAAGGCACTAGAGAAGTTCAAAAAAGGTTGAAAAAAGGAAGGCACAGGGCCCATTACCGTGCTCCCAGAGCAAAGGAGTGAATCGAGGGAGGCGTTGGTTAAGGATAACAAGCGCATACGTTAGAGCAGGCCCGTTGTCGGTAGGAAGATTTGGGAGGAGGAAAGTAGATGAATGAGACATCGGCCCCATCTTTGCTAACTTGCGCCCCTCAAAATCACCCCGCTGTTTCAGTTTTTTCAATTAAGAAAGAGAAAACATACGAACACCATTATATACCAATCAATTAATTGATTAATTAACTATATAGACTACGGATCCACATCTACTCTTTTTTTTATAGTTTGGGGGAAAAGGGAAAATATTATGTGTGCTCACGCATTCCCTACATCTAAACACTAAAAACACAGAGTTTCAGCAGAAAATTGTACAAAATCAGATCAAGACATTCAATTAAAACGGAGGGAGTAACTGAAGATCAGAAGTGGAAAGGCAAAAGATGGATAAGTTGAAGCTACAAGCCCTGTGCTAATCATTTTATTGAACATGAACCAAGACAATGCCAAATGTTACAAAGAGTTTAGCATTGAGCTTCAAAAAAAACCAATTCGGCTATATACAAAAAAGGAAGTTGGTGTGTGCCACAATATAAGTAAATTAAAAGATAACCCTGATCGAACCTCTTGTTCAGCAGATTCAGGCCCTGATTCATTCAACTCACCCTGGATTTTCTCCCCAAGCGTATCATTAATCGACGATGACAATGCCTCCGCCGCCTACAAAACGGATCAATTTATATAGAAAATTTCAAAGGAAAAAGAAATCTTTTATGCAGGGTACATGCAGGCATGTAAAAAAAATCAAGATTTAGTGGTCAGGTCTATTAAATTATACATTTTTATAAAATCTGTTTACATGAATTTAACCCTAATCTGTTTTAAATCTGAATCTATTAGGAGTTATCCGATAAGAGAAACCCTAACCTTGGAGTGCTTGCCGTTAGAAATAGGAGAGGAGGGAGAAGAGAGAGAACCCTTAGGAGGACGAAGAGCTGCGTCTGGTCTCAACCATGTTTGATCTTTTCTCCTTCTTCTTCTACAGATCCAAAGAATTAGAGAAATGAAGCAAAAAACGATTTGGATGTTAGGAGTAATAAATAGAGAATTCTAGTGTGTGTGTGTGTAAAATGGAGAGAGAGACAGAGAGACAAGGGGAGAAGGCGAATGATTGCTGAATTTAGAGTTCCGTCTGTTTGCTGAATTTATATAAAGTTTCAACAAACATGTCAAAACCTAATTTTATCCAATGCTTCCTTTGATTGGGTCGAAATTGGCTAAAAGAAATCAACCCACTCAGTTTGATTTTGAATTTAATTCCCCTATATATATATATATATATAATCAAGAAAGTTACCATATATAATTGACATTATGGTTAAGTCAAGTGGCAAGCTAATAAATGTCAATAGTATATGGTAACTTTATTCTATATTTGACTATTTTAGTTAAATACAAATATAATTTTGAGTTTATAGATAAAGTTCTAAAATTCGAATTTAAATTAAAACTAAAATTTATCTTTTTTTATCATGTTATCATACTTAATTCGGTTAATGATCATATGCAATCATGTTAGTAACTTTTGTTATTTTTATAATTATTTAAATACTACTTCGCCTCTGGCAAAAAAAAAATACTACTCCATATAACTATAAAACTCTTTCACATTTTGTCACGACCCGGGATTTTCACCCTCGGGAGTCGTGATGGCCCCTACTAATGTGAGCTAGGCAAGCCAATTATTTGAACAAATTACTTCTTTATCCATTTTATACTCTTTAACAATTATAAAGCCAAAGCGTGTAGGCAACGAAAAATTTCAATAAGCGGAAGAAATGTAGTAACTTATCTGAATATATATATCTAATATAACTATTTGAACCTCGACCACCCAAAACTAGTGTCACAATGCCACAGACAATCTAAGAATGCTACATACAAAGTCTGAAAATAAACAATACATTGTTTCTGAATTAAGGAAATGAAACATGAATAAAGGGATAGAGGGAGACGCCAGGGCCTGCGGACGCCTGCATGTCTACCTTGGATCTCCGCGTGGACTGAAGGCAGCCACCCAATCTACGGTCCAAATGTTGATGCTCCGGGATCTGCACGTAGTGCAGAGTGTAGTATCAGCACAACCGACCTCATGTGCTGGTAAGTGTCTAGCTTAACCTCGGCGAAGTAGTGACGAGGCTAGGACCAGACTACCAAATAAACCTGTGCAATTTAACTATATACAGCAGAAAAGAAGAACAGTAATATACAGTCAAGTATGGGAGGGGTAACATGTTGCGGGGGAGCTATCAATTTAGAATAGAAAGACAACAGGTAATTGAAAGAAACAACATATCTCAGATATCAGCAAAGAACCAGAAATCAATAAGTGCACGGCATCACCCTTCGTGTTTTTACTCTCGTCCTCATCAAAGCAATCAAGTAATGAAAATGTGTACGACATCACCCTTCGTGTTTTTACTCTCGTCCTCACCATATAATTAATATAATCAGCACGGAATGGTATATCGTGCGGCACGGCATCACCCTTCGTGCTTTACACTCTTTCCTCACAAATCATACACGACATCACCCTTCGTGCTTTAACACTATCTCACCAAAACAATACACGATATCACCCTTCGTGCTTTAACACTCTTCCTCACCCAAACAACAATCACAAATAATAGGGCAAGGGAATAAATGAAATTACAATAAGAATCCTGGCAAGGGAACAATAGTTCAACAATCAAGTCCCGGCAAGGGAATAACATCAAAAGAAGCATCAACATCCCGGCTAGGGAGATAACATTAAAAACAACAAATTTCCGGGAAGGGAGATAATATAATGATTCTCTTCTCTTTTACTTCACAACTCACTTCACAACTTTGAGCCAATGCTCTAAAAGGTTTAATTTCCGCTTATACTTTCACATTTCACTGTACAACTTGAGCCAACGCTCCTCAATACTCAAATGTCACAATTTCTTCCACAAACTTTGCCCAACAAAAGAAATCATCACCAAAGCATGAATAATACAACGAAGCCATAATAATCACAATATAAGACTCATGGGCATGCTTGACACTAACGTATAGATACTCGTCAACATGCCTATACGTCGTACTCGACAAATACCACATAGCATTTAGGACTCGACTCCTAATCCCTCAAGCTAAGGTTAGACCAAACACTTACCTCGATGCCACAAACACAATTCAAGTCTCTACTATCGCTTTACCTCTTGATTCCACCACCAATTCGCTCGTATCTAGCCACAAGTTACTTAATTACATCAATAAATGATAAATGAATCAATTCTAATACATGAAAATGAGTTTTCTAAAGTTTTGCCCAAAATGTCAAAAATCGCCCCCGGTCCCACATGGTCAAAACCCTAGGTTCGAACCAAAACCCGATTACCCATTCCCCCACGAACCCAAGTATATAATTTGTTTTAAAATCAGACCTCAATTCGAGGTCCAAATCCCCAATTTTTGAAAAACCTAGGTTTTACCCAAAACACCCAATTTCTTCCTTGAAAATCATTGATTTGGAGTTGAAATCATGTGAAAAGATGTTAATGATTGAAGAAAACGAGTTAAAATTGACTTACAATCGATTTGGAAGAAGAGTTGTCTTTGAAAAATTGCCCAAGAGTGTTTTGGTTTTGAAAGAGTGTGAAAAATGAAAGATTTTCGGCTAAGTTATAAAATTGCAGGTTGTAGATATGGGAATTACGACCAATTGCGAACCCAAACTTCTGCTAAGTTTGCATTTGCGAAAATTGAAAATGCGACCAACATGTCGCATTTGCGACGACTGGCCACAAGCTGGGGGATCACATTTGCGATTAAAACACTTGCAATTGTGAGATAGGTTGGCTTGGGCTACTGTCACAATTGCGACATAGACCTCGCTCCAACTCCAGCGCTTGAAAAATCTATATTTATATATATATGTTAAAGCAAGAAAGTTACCGTATATAATTGACATTATGGTTATGTCAAATGGCAAGCTAATAAATGTCAATAATATATGGTAACTTTATTATATATTTGACTATTTTAGCTAAATAAAAATATAATATAATATATATATATATATATATATATATATAGAGAGAGAGAGAGAGAGAGAATTTGAATTAAAAGATAATTTTGAATTTATAGATAAAGTTTTTAAATTCGAATTTAAATTAAAAATAAAATTTATTTTTTATCATGTTATCATACTTAATTCGGTTAATGATCATATGCAATCATGTTAGGAACTTTTGTTATTTTTCTAATTATTTAAATACTACTTCGCCTCTAGCAAAAAAAAAAAATACTCCATTTAACTATAAAACTCTTTCATATTTAGAACCCTATAAGTATAGTTCTTTGAAATAATGTAACTAGATTTGAATAAAACGAATTTCTTTTAAAATAAATGTAATATATAGCGTACACGTATGTGTTTATCCAAATAACAAAAAAGAGTTTACAAAACCAAATAAAAGTTTACTTACATATATAATAAAGTAAACATACATTCAGGAGAAAGTAACATCACAAAATCAGTCAATATTATAAAAAATATTTTTTTTTTCTTCTTGAAGAATATTTGTTTGAAGAGTCAATTTACATAAATGAACTTCAAACAAATAAAAAAACTTTGGTTATATAATTGCTATCATTAATTTCAATTTAGCACATTCAAGGAATTGAAGGGTATAAGCTGAAACCCCTTCATTTAACCATAGTCAAGCCAATATTACAAGGGAATAATATTTTTTTCGTTGAAGAATATTAGTTTTGAATCATTAGATTATGTGAAAGGTTTTTTTTTCAAATTCAACAAGAGATAAATTGGTTTCTAATTGATAGTTTCTATAGCGATATTTTAAGTGTAACAAAGTGTACATATAAAAAAAATCGTATGACGTGAATTTTTTTTTAAAATGTAAACAAATTATTTCAAAAAAAAAAACTCTTTGCTTTTTTTTTTTACTTCGAAGATAATAAAAAGACACGATATTTTTGAACATTAGTAGAGAGTTTTAAAATTATTATAATAGAAATTATATCATAAACTCAAAAAACCGAAATCTTATGGAATATTTACATAATATCTGGCCATATTAATTGTTTACTTTTTATAGCTAATATAAATAGATGATATACCGACAACACACGATTATACACATATTATAATTTCAGCTATTTAGGCTGATTAGATAAAGCCAAAGAAAAATATGAAATAATTTCAACCTAAGAAATATAATTAAAGTTCATATGTAGATAATTTTTATTAAAACTCATCCTTTTATAGTAAAATAAATTATTTTTTTGTAACAAAAGAAATAATGACATAAAAAATAAGATAAAAGAAAATAAATATTGAAAAAATGTTAGAAAGATCTAAAAACCAGAAATAAAAGATGACAACAAATTTCTTCTTATGTTTCATCTTTGTTGAGTATAAAAAATTTGAAATTTAATCTCATCGATTTCATATATATATATTTTTAACTCAAATACATAGATTATAAAATAAGGATATCTTAGAATATTTTTTTTTAATTTACATTATGTGTCGTTTTTAAAAAATCACTATAACTAACAAACTGATATGATATTCGAATTTGAATTGGAATGCAATTTGAGCAGTTTGCATTGATGTTAAGCCAAGTATGGTGTGGAAAATAAACTACTTGACAATTTTAAGACAATATATGCAATATTTTATAATAATAATCAACTAATTTAACATTTAATGATTCAAAGAACAAATTTTTTGTATATATAGGGTATTAAAAATTTAAATTATGGGGTTAGAGATATCGATAAACTTAAAGTGGAGTCATACTGAAATAAATCCGACCAAAGAATCATTTAAATTTTTAGATAGCCGATTAAAGTGAATTTTAAATTAAGGATAATATCTTCACTTGCATCATTATAAAAATAATCATTATTATAATATACATAAAGTTTTAGAAATTGAAATTTCAAAAATAAAAATATTTTTGAAAGATAATATCATACCAAATAAGAGACTAAGTTGTAGTATAAGAGTCACGTCGTAATCAAAGAGTCGTTTATATCGTATCAACCTTTGTATTTTGCCATAAATATGAGTTATTATTTCACTTTGTGTCTATTTTTATGTTCCAATGACACATATGAGAATAGTGCAAAAATAAAATTATCACTACGAGAATTGAGAAAATGTTTGTCTTCTTTCATGTAGTGTTTCTTAATTAATATTTGACAATTATCTATAATTGTTTAGAAGGTTTAAATGTTAAGGTTATTTACATATAATTCAAATGACTCAGATATTTAACATGGTCAATGTCAAATATCAAAATGTAGTAAAAAAATTCACTAGCTAAAGAATTTTTTTATATTTTTAGATAGTCAACTAAAATGAGTTTTGAATTAAGAATAATATTTTCAATTACATTATTATAAAAATAATTATTGTTGAAAAATAAAGTTTTAGAAACTGAAATTTTAAGAAAGAAATATTTTTTAAGAGGTATCAACACACCAAATAAAAGTTCAATGTTGTAAAAGAGTTAAGACTTATCCAAAGAGTCATTTATTGTCTCAATATTTGATTGTTTTGCCGTAAATATGAGTTATTATTTTGCTTCGTTACTATTTTTAAGATCCAATGACATCAACAAGAATGGTATCAAAAAAGAAAAATAGAAGAAATGGTTTTTTTCCGTATAGTTAATATCCAATGATTATCTATATTTACTAAGAAAGTGTAAACTTTAAGATTATTTACATACAATACAAATAACTTAAATATTTGACATGATTAATATCCGCGCATCCGCGCAGGTACTAATACTAGTTATTTAGTATAGACAAGGTGCTCTAAATCTCAAGCTTATACAAACCTCAAAGGATTGGGGTTAAAGACGAGATTGGTAGAAGAAAAGAGAATATTAGAAGCAGTCAACAATTGAGACGGAAGAAATTTCAGGTCAAACACTATAATTATTTCACACAAAAGTAATTTTAATGTAGAATGTAGAACTTCGTGGAAATATTTCGATTTGTCAACCCCTTTATTACAGACAAATTTTGTGGTTGTGTTTAACCAATTTTTAAGTCATGCTAGAAAGGAGATATACGCATTTGCTTAATATTATCTTAGAAAATAATTTGTAGTGATTTATTTTTAGAGACTTTGATTAAGTTTTTCAGTTTTACTTAATTAAAATATTTCTATCTTTTATTTGAGATTTGATATGATTAGCACAAAAAAAGAGTTGAAAAGATCATGAAAAAAAAACGTATACAGTGAAAGAGGAGGAGACCAAATTAAATGGTTGATTTTCTTGTTGAAATGAAGAGGCACTTTTGTAAATGAAAGTTATTGATAAGAATATTTTTTATTTTGAAGAATAAATTTTTTACTTCTGCTTCTAGCTTTTTTCAACGACAGAATAACTGTAGTTCAAAAATACTTTTTTGTTGGCCAAATAACCTCCAATTTTCACAAAAACTATTTTCTTGTTTGTTTTTCATTTGGTGCCTAGTATTCGTATTGACTGGCATCCAATAAAATGCAAATATGCACCGAAATGTTCCACATTCCGAGTAAAGCGCAACCTAACAAAGATAAACTCCATGCTTAGGCCGAACCCGAGATTCTAGTTAAGGATAAAAGATACTTATCACTCCACCACAATCCTTATTCGATCACAAACAAGTACTTTTAGCTTGCCAAAAACTTGGTCAAACAACTCTATTATGACCTACGTGAAAGGAAATAGACACAAACTCTGGTAATTTCTTCTTATCCCAAAAATATTAATCATCGTGGCATTACTCCGCAATAGAAATATGAAGAATTAACCTCAAATAGTAGTCCACCTAATTTCTTTAACTAAAAATAATACGGCGGATGTATAATATAATATGTGTATAATTTTTGTACACCGGCTAGAAAAAGTAAATAGTAAATCTGGCCTGCAATTTGTGTAATCCCAAGAGGTATTCTACTTCATCAGACAAATTAACCTAAAAGCCCTTGGGAGTTGGGAAAAGTCAGGTGGCTAAATACAACAATTACAACTATACTAGTAATCACAAGTTGTAACCTAAAGGTCCTTTTGCTCGCTACTAAATCACTTGTTCCTTTCTCTTCCGCAATTTACCTTTTCAGGTTGGCATAAAGGCCAAATTTCAGACTCGACTTTAGTCCTCTTCTTCGACCGCACTGAACCATCTTAGTTTGTGACTTGTGAAGTTTTGTACTTTTCTTTTACTTTCCCCATTGTTTACTTAGTTTCCAATACGGTTTCTAATTTCTGTTTAGCTCCGCCATGATCGTTGAGATCTTTATTCATCTATAAGTAGTGAATATGGCATCAATGAAACTATACACTTTAGAAAACGAAGAATACTTTCCCTTGAAATATCAACATTTTCCGTACTTTATGCAAACATTGGTGCTGAAGACATTACTAAGTAATTAAATTGCACCCTCTAATAACCAAAGCTTTTAAATGAAGTAGTCACAAAATTCTAACAAGATATCAAACTTAACTGCCCGCTCTCTAATTGCTTACACTTATGACCTTGGAAAATTTAAGTAGAATTACAATTGTCAACAGTAACATTAAGAAAGGAAGAGGGAAAGCTACACAAATATAACAAAAAAATAATAAAAATAGTATTAAATAAGCGTAGCTTAAGATCTATTGGTCAAAACAGAGAGCTAGCCGATACTGATACAACCAAATGAAACCACGCAAATCCAGCTAGACAATGTCAGTTTGACTGTGGCAGGTCAGTATTAATTATGAAATTTATGGTCATGGCAACCACCCAGATGAGAAACAATGACCAAAAACAATGACCAACTCGGAATGAATGGGGAACCATAATAAAATCCCACCTAACAATTAATAGGAGAGTGTCACAGGCTCCTAAATAATCGTCCCATTACTACAAACACAAATTAACTTTAGCACTAGCTTTAGTCCATGGATGTCGATGACCATATGCCAAGACGTGACCACAATTCGCAGATGAAAGCATTTGCGGGCAATCCCGTGAGAGAGGCCTGTTATTGAGGTGGTGGAAGTACTCAACAAAGCCAAAGTATTATCCGAAGTAAATAAAAACTTTCAATGGAACAGACATATGGAGGCCAATAAAATAGTCTGTATTTACTCCTTCAGTTAACCCTAACAAGTTTGCCCGCTTCATCATAGGAATTCAAACTATACAATATTCAATACAGAAAAAGAATATTAGAATACAGTTATTGAATTAGTCAACTCGTATATACAGAGAAGAGACCTACAAAGGAGAAAATTGGATAAGACAAGATTTGAGAGACTCATTAAGACTAGCAATTGCTAAGATAAAATCCTATGAACTAATATGATATAGAAGGGCCTGAGGGGAACCTGAAATGGATTATCCATGTAGGTCCCACTGCCATCTCGGGTTGCAGAACAAGAAAATAAATAAACCAATGGTATATAGTTACATATTTCCTCTACATGAAGTAGCTGAGAGATGTTTTCTTCCTTGATCCACCTTCTCCATATAAGTCATTCCACTGGAGAAGCTCATTCATGTTTGAAGATTCCGAGGATACACTAGCACATACCTGAATTCATTGACACATAAACAAGTCATGAATCAACTAAATGCATACACACTTACACACTATACCAAACTATACTCCACAGTGATGATAAAGCAAGAAAAACACACAAGGGCCCAAGAAAGTAGTAGTACTTAAACATTTTTCCCCACGCTAACAAGAAACAATTTCATTTGCACAAATTGGTACAAAACCATCAAAGATTCCTGGTTGGTCATCCAGGTAGGTCAAATACAAAAGCTTGCAATAAGAATATGATATCTACATCGCCTATGCAGCAACATTTCAAGAAGGACATGATATTTAGATTGAGGTTATCAATTTAGCTGCTATCTATTCCATCTGAAATGAATTAGCTGCTATATATGGAGTCACCAATTGTGATGGTCATCTGATAGCATGAACTCAACATTAGTTCTTCATTACAGATACAGGGTCTACTGAAGTGTGCAAGCATAACAACAAAGATAAGAGATGAGCATAGATTTATGTAAGTGGACCCGCTAGAATTTACTGAAATGAGGCACCAAACAAGATCAGCTGCCTAAAGACTGGAATTTGAGCTCACAAGACTAAGAGCCCAAGTTCCTCGGACCCCCAACAGTGGCTTTACCCTGGACATCCTCCTACCACATTATTACCAGTCATGCACCACCGTGGAGATGGTGTTTTTTCTGTATAGGGGCCAAAGCAATTAGCTGATGAACTAAGACACTCACCACATATAATTAGGCTCTGTAAAATTAAAAAAACCACTGTGTATACCAGGCTAGAAGAGAAGACTAGTGGAATTTGAGACTATATTTGATCATCAGATTGAAGCTTGGTGGCTTAAAAGCAAAGGCCAGCCAGTGAAGGTACAAGTACCTATACTAGTGGCTGACTAGGAGATACTAGCATAAATAGAGAATCATTTCTCCATGAAACAGTGACGAATGAAAGCCACTCGCTAAGAGAGGATTATATCAGTTTGAGGAGCTATTGATCTTTCAAGTTACATATATAGACTAGCTGATCGAAACCCCGAAATGTTGTGGTGGTCTCTTGTGCAATCACATGAACAAAATTCCTTTTTGAACTACTTCACAGTAGCATGTAGAAGACATGAGAGACCGACAACATTCAACCAGTCAATGTGATTTGTTGTGTTTAACTGGTTGAATGTTGTTGATCTCTCATGTCTTCTGCATGCTGCTGAGAAGTAGTTCAACAAACCAGTCAACATGATTTACCCCATAATTTTATGACAACAGCTCTCAAATCCCAAATCTGTATCTCGCACCATCGAATAAATAAATAAAAACTAATCACTTGAGTACATATATATCTGAAGTTACGAGAGATGTTCGATTCCTTCCTCTATGATCCCTGCATTCTCTTTCTTTGTTGTGAAGTGGATGTGGATTTGGAGCCCAAGTCCACTGAAGGAACTGGATGAAAGAGCTACCTTCCTGGAGCTGCCTCCTTATTGTAGATCGTTAGTTCACCAATTCAAACTCAGATCAGTTGGCAAGTGGATTTGTGCCTGGGTACGAACTACAAACTAGAAATTCGATCTTGAAAGTGTATCTAAGGCGGATTAGTTGTTTATTTTCAAAAGAGAATTTGATTAGAAAATCTGCAACAGTGTGATATCAGAAAGATCCATGAGAAAGTCCCAAACTTTTCTTGGCAGTAAATAAAGCCTACTAAAAACTTTTCTTGGCAGTAAATAAAGCCTACTAACATTTCTCCTGAACCCCAAATACTCTGCAGAGAAAGTAGAATGAATGGCACAAAAATCAGATTAACCACAGTACGTGCAATTGTGTACCTGTTCATGTGCATACTTAAAATCATCCATGTTAAGTGGACGGATGTCTGCACTACTACGCAATGCCGGAGTTGGCCTGTTCTCTGCAACTGCCGATGCTTTCTCCTGAAATCATGCACCAAAAATAAAGAACAATAAGTCAATAAATTTAGCAGATTAAAGTGTAAAGACTCCATAGGAGATGACGATGACCAATTAATTTAAGACATCGCCAAAGGAAACACATCATGAAGCTAGAACAAAAAGACTTCCAAACAAAATTAGTAATAGCGCTTTTGTATGTTGTGATCCAGGTCACCAATTCAACCAAATGTTGGAAGGTCACAGAATTATAACAAACAACTAGAATGAACTCAAGCAACTGACCTTCTCTTTCTCCAAAATTTCTCTAATCGGGCAATGCGCAGCCGTTACACATAAATTCTGGGATTGGAAATTTCAGACAGCAGCAAGTACGATATCAAATGTAGATTTAAAAATAATGCAGTTATTTTGAAGGAGGTATTGCAAAAACAAATGCATTAGGAAGTGCAAGTAATCTTGATCCAGACCTTTAAATCACTCCCTGAGTACCCTTCCGTCATATTAGCAATAGCTTCAACATCTACATTTGGCGCTAATTCTTCCTTCGCCAATATCACTCTTAAAATTTTCTTTCTGTTTGGAGCATCTGGCACGTTTACCATCAACCTGTATTGATCAATCATTGGAGCACCAGTAGCCGTAAATCATTTAAAAATCAATCATTGATCAATCAGTTACACTTACGCAAATCATAAGGAAATAATTTATTCAAATTTTACCTGCGCGGAAGCCTCCTAATAACTGCTTCATCAAGGTCGAAGGGTCTATTTGTTGCAGCAAGCACAAGCACTCGTTCCTTATCCTTTGTACGCAAACCATCCCAATTTACCATGAATTCATTCTTCATTTTTCACATAGCTTCATGCTCTCCTGGATTTTCTCGTCTTCCTAACATGCTATCCACCTAGTAGACAAGAAGAAATGGAGGCAAAAGGACAATATAAACAAAGAACGATATAAAGAAAACTTTATAACTTTTTAGGGTGTGAAATAAGAAAACCTACCTTTGTAATCTATATAGGAAAAGAGCTTAGCCCAGCAATAGCTGCAGAAAATGTCACCAACCTCGTCAACAAAAACAACACTAGGCGCTATTTTACTAGCTAACGTCAAGACTGCTTTGACATACTTCTCTCCTTCACCGAACCACTGATAAGAAAAAGCTGTCAACCATTTTAAGAAGGGCCAGTCAGATATAAAACAACAGAAAGCAGATATCAGTGATACCTTTGACGTAACGCTTGACATTGATATGTTTATAAAGTTTGCACCAGCCTCAGTAGCAACAGCTTTTGCAAGCATTGTTTTGCCAGTACCTGGAGGTCCAAAGAGCAATATTCCCTTGCAAGGCTGTAGATAGCATCTTGTTCAGAAACATGAGTGCATACTTGANTGTAAATATTATCTTATGCTAACTTCACAAGTGGTGGAATAAAATTAACTTTTCTTCTGGCAAGGGATGCGCTGATGAGAAGGTGGTTTCAGCCTTTCAGCTGAATCCAGGACAAGACAGTAAGAAAATGAAAATTGAAGTGCTAAAGAAATGTTCATGGTGTTGCCTATGTGTCCTACAAAATCCACAACCCAAAAACAATGAAGGGATCTAAGATAAAAGGTTTTTGCCCTTAGCTGGTCAGAATAGAGCACTCACATTGCGAATGCTTGCTATGTTTGACTGAGATTTCATAGTTTCCATATCCCGATCTAACTGTTGCTTCCAGTCTGATAATAAGGTTTCATCCTGCCACAAGAAGATCCATATTACATACTTAAATCAAAATTTAATACAGTTGGCACTTGGCAGTCTAAACATAAACTGAAAGTACCGGAGGAATCTGTATGGTAACTTTGTTGGGGAACAGGCGGGTGAGCTGCTTCATTGTCTTGGGGGTTTCATTGCTTCTATCATGCAGCCTACCAAAATTATCCTGGAAAGAGATGCCATTCAACGCATATTAGTCAACCATTTGAAAGAGGCAAGTACTTCCAGAATGCAATTCGTAATAACCAAAAGTTCACCTAGAAGCTCCAAGGAGATGCCAATAATAATAACAACAATAGACCTTATCAAAAGAATAATAATAACAAGAAAAACAACTTTTTTGGATAACCAATAACAACTTATCAAAAGAAATTTAATAATAATGACGACTACTCTTTACTACACAATTGTCGAGTAGAGCTAGCACGTAAAACCAAAGTCCATAGGTCCGTCGGTATCTGACTCATATGAACCATATTAGTTCGTAAAAATGGTTTAGCACGCAATGGTCAAAACAGGTTTCAAACCCATTTTTAATGGGTTTGGTGTGGGTTTAAGAAATGTTAAGTTTCTTCTTCTTCTTTTTTTTTTTT